GGCGCCGCTCGGCACGGCGGGCGCCTGCGGTGCTGGGGCGGCAGCGCTCAGCCTCGGCTGCCTGCCACAGTCACTCGCGTCCTTGAATGCATGAAGATAGTCATGACCAGCATGGAGTATAGCTGGGACATTCACGGACAGTGTGTATGGCTAAATAAGGTAAGGCTATCTGTGTTTGTCCTGACTCTTGCATTTCTCCGAGTGACAAGCCATAGCTGGGCAATGCTGGTAGGGAATAAGCATTTCGTCTTTCTCTTGTATCAGATACCAGCCGAGCTGCTATTGAAGAAACTGAATATTTTGAAACAGTGGCATCTTCCCTATTCAACAGCCGTGTTATTTATGTTTAGAAAATGTTTCAGGTAAATTCCTCAGAGTGAAGTTCTGTCTTAAGCTGGTTTTCTTTCAGAATTCACTTTTATTGTAGTGAAGCCTTTAAAATATGATGCGGGGGTTTTGAGTGGGTTTTAGGGTTTTTTTCCCTTGCTTGTTCTGTAGGGAGGGACTAATCTGTAAACTTTAGGAAAAGCTTAGCAGCAGGTCTGCCTGCCTGCTATCAGAGCATGTGGAGCAGGCTGCAGATACTCAGAGTGATGAGTAGGGAGGCGTGAAATGCAGGCGATGCCGGTTTGGGAGTGCAGCGGTGGGCTCCCGTGCAAACTGGTTAAACACAGGTACAAACTGTGTTCAGAGAGGTTTGACCAGCATGAATCTGGGATGGAATTAATACTTACGGAGGGTAAAGCTGTCACAGCTCTGTATGACAGGGGAAATGGTGGTGAATTGGTGGGAAACCTGGAGGCTCTGCCCGTGGCACACCAGGTGATGTTGAGGTAGCTGAGGCTGGAGGAGCCCCCCTGCAAGGGACTCCCTAAAACTGAGTGAGCAGGCAGAACAGCAGTAGCCGTGCTTAGCTAAGCATTGGTAATGTGTGTGATAATGATCTGAACAACGTAAGCATGTTGATGAGATCTAATTTAACTCCAGATGGTCAGGAAAGAGATGTCAGGGACAGCTCACTTGCCCGACTGTTGACTGGGCTGTGGTGGTCAAAACAGTCAGTGCAATCTGCCATACAAGAAAATAATGCTGTGGGGTGGCAGCTCCTTCTATACAAATCAAATTGCATCTTCAGCAAGAACAGTGGGATTTGTTCTGCTTATTTTGTCTCAAAAGCAGAAGAGAAAATGAGGGTATCAGCTGCAGTAGGCTAAAAATGAGTTTTATTTTTGAAAGGAGAATTCAGCAGTTGAAAGGAAATGAATTTTTTATTTTTTTTTTTAATTAGGAGGCTTAAAACAGCAGCTATTAGAAACTTTCCTGCGGTTTGGAATACTAACTCGCTTCCAGGGAAAATGGATTAAAGACTGAGGGCAGGCAAGCTGTGAAAGTTTGGTGAGGCATCCACTTATTACAGGAATAATTCCCTCCAGAGCAGTGTGGATTTTTACACTTACGTGATTGCAGACAAAGCTTACACACGTGTTTAACAGATTAGCCACGGATTGATCTTGCAGAGTTTTTAAGTGCACTGGGTCTGATCTTATAAGGCATTTTAAGTAAATGCTTAACCTCAAACTTTTGTGAAGCCTCAGTGGCATCGTGACAACTGTTCTTTTGTTTTTAGGATTAAGATCAGTACTGGTAAATCTGCATTCTCTTCCCATACAGTGTTTTGCAATTAATCCCTAAATTGAAAACACATGCTAAGTCTAACCACTTAATTGAACGTAGATTTTAAGTTGCTGATGAAGAAGAGCCACCTTTGGAAAATGGCAAAGCCTGTCTTACACTGCTAGTAAACTATGTTAATCCTGTATTGACTTCGATGATACAAATTTGATCCAGAACTACCAAGTGCCCCAGATACTCCTGCACTCCTGCTGTTGAATCAAATATTTACTTTTTTTTGTTTGGTTTGGTTTGTTAAAGCAGAGCCATTGCTCTACAGAGTGAGTAGTTGCCGGGCTCAGTCCCAGGGGAGGCTGCGGGTCCCCAGGTGGAGAGAAACTCCTCCTGAAGGACACACCAAGTGTTGCTCACCCAGGTTTTGCACACACCAGGTGTCCTGGCATATTTCACACCTCCCTGCAGCCCGTTTGTCCCCGTTAGGGCTCCCTCCACCCCATCTCCTGATGCAGTGCTTTCCCATATCCAGTGTTTGGGCATCTTCCCTCTCCATTTCTCTTCAGTCCTGCCCACTGCTGTCATTACCCCATTCTTCTTTTCACGTGTTTAATCTCCTCTCTTCTTTCCTCATCTGTCTGGGAAGAAAATCATGGCGGGTATCAACTTTTTACCTTTGAAGACATTGGAGAGAAGAGATGTGGGAAGGCATTGTGTGGCCGTTGCCTGCAGGTCCCTGATCTCTGCACCACCATAGGAGGTGCTGCAGCTGCTGCTCTGTGAAATAGCTGCTGTGACTTCTCTGTGTTGTCCTTTCTTCAACTCTCATCTTTTTCCCCACTGTAACCAGTCAGTGACTTTCTTGCCTTTTCATACCTAAAATGAAGAGTTAGTCCCAGGTATTATGCAGAAGTTAACAACATGTCAGGCAAAAAGTGAACTGCTGTTGGGTTGTACACAAAGTTTTCTGTTTTCAGTGTACCACAGGAGGTCTGGTTTTATGCAGATTTTACAAAATATTTCTGGCGACTGCCAGCAAAGACGTCTTTGTATTTGGTTTTGTGGGAGAACAACCTTTACTCCAGTCCTGTTTGGGGTTCCCATCACCACCTCCCTCTTTCTTACGGCAATGTGCAGCTGCAGCCTGAACTCTCACTCTCTAAATGCTCCTATTTTAAAACCAAGTACGATGTGCTGAGCAAAACAGGATATTTTTTTGAGGAATGGGAAGAGAGTTTAACAACAAAGGTGTCTTGGCAAGATGCTGTGCACAATGACTAACATTCTGCTTTAACACCTCGTCAGTTTTCACAGCATCGTAAAGACATTATCATCACAGTGTGAAAGCAATACTTACCTCAACATATTTTCTTCACGCAGTCTTTGGCTTTAGTTAATTTCTGTCTGGTTACACTGACTAGAGATATCAGGAGGTTCAGTGGTTAGAGCGCTGATGTGGTGGTTGGGAGGCAGGGAGTCAAGTCTGCGCTTTGACAAGGACTTTCATGTGAGCCCTGGCAGGATGGAGGGGTGTCTTTGCACCTTGGCTGCCTGCTTGTAATGGGGGATGAATATCGCTTTCCTACAGCAGAGACACACACTGGACTGATAAATTTGTTGTATATTACAAAATACAGACGCTGTATTCATGGAGGCTGAGGAAGTGCCTGAGATGTGTTGGAGGTCTTTAAATGAGAAGGGAGCTACAGCATAGCAAAAGTATGCAAAAACCTCGTTTTTGTATTTTGCGTACAAGTCAAGTTACAAAATTTAAAGCATAATCTGGTAGTTGAGCAGCTAACAAGTTTATTTGGGAAGCTCTTCGACTTCTTTCACGTAAATGAAAACTGTTACAAAACTGAAGATCTCACTGGTCTTGAATGGAAATCCTATGCCATGAGCTAAATTCTGGTGGAGGTGGGGGAAAACAGAGCAAACTCGGAAGCTTAGAGTACTTCTGCCTTGGTGCTTAATTTCTCGATGGTCAGAAGGCCTAGTCATTTACTGCTAAATAATTCAGATTCAGGGTATCGTTATGGTGTGAGGTATTGGTACAAATTACTAGGGAGCATCCTTTCTTAGTCTGCTGTAGCTCTAGTGATTTGAGGGGAGATGCTACAGTCACCTTGTAAATGTTACACATGTATGCTTGGGAGACACATTTGCAACTGCACTCTGATTTACAAGCTGCCAGGACACAGACTGATTTCTTGAGGAGAGCACTAAGGTGAGGTCAAATACTTCATGCCCCCTTCTGTTTGCTTTGCATCTAATCTTTAAGTGATGCTGGAGGGCATTTTATTCCTCTGGTTTTAAACAAGGCAGTTTTTCCCGTCATCCAAAGTCAGGCATGTAACTTAGAAAAGGAGTTTTAGCTGGCAGGTTTCCTGAGGCATCGTCTGCAATCAGGGGAGACAGGCTGTTTGAAAGGGAGATTCAAAGCGGGAGCCCAAGGCCTGCAGCTCCTGCATGGGGGTGTCCTCTCATGGCAGGGTTGTGCTGCAGACTCACTGGGGCGCGAGGATTAGTAGCCCAGTTTCCTTTCATCACATATGTAGAGGGAAATCAATGTCCCTCGGAGTTGGTGGGAGCCTCTGTACTGAGCACACTGGATTTCAGAGCAGCTTCTCAGACTCCTCTAAGTGATTTATGCAATGATGGGAATAAGAATTTATTTTCTGAGCTGAGATCCGATTGTGGCGTCCATCACAAAGTGCTTTGAGACAGCTTTGAATATGGATAGAGTAAAATCCTTCTTGCTGCTCAAGAGCATTGAAGTTATTATGAAGAAAGTTGCTGATTCCTCTGAACTCTCTGATAGCATTAACATGTATTCTTGTTTCTTTTTAGCCTCAGGCAGCTTTATAAAGAGATGTGTTTAGAGTGCAGACGTTCACCCATACCCAGTAAAACGTGCCTGATGTAAAAGGATGTCTCTTACTGTGTGTTTTAGAAAAAATTGTTTGACTTGCAAGAAGCATAACGCACATTTTGTAGATTGCACATTGATTTTTTCACTTGCTGAATGTCTTGGGGTATTCGTCTCTTTGCAAATGTGGCTTAGCATAGTACACCATTGAGCACAAATTTTGTTAACAAAATGCTGAATGCACAGTAAGTGAATTTTGCAGAATTGGGTCACCAAAAGGTTCTTCCTTTCTCATCTTTAGGTCTCTGAACAATTCTTGTCCTGAATGGTGGTCGTGTATCCTTTGTTGACAGTTTGTTTGATTTGTATCCCTTTGGGGGCTGAAGAATACTTTAAATCTGTTCTTGAACTGTGCAGATGAAAAATACTCCTTAAGTGTGTTGATAATGTTGAATGATGCTTATGGTACGATAGCTGATGACACAATATTTGCTGTCTTTTTCAGACTAACGGACATATATCTGGGAGTGGAGATGTGTATCAAGAAAGGCTGGCTCGTCTGGAAAATGATAAGGAATCTCTTGTTCTGCAAGTGAGTAGTCACCTAAATTATTTTTTCTGCTCTTGCATTCATAAGACTTTTTGATAGTATGTGATAAAACCTCTGAGGATTTATTTGCAGTTGTGTCATCTTGGACAGTGTTCAGAAGGCTTGCTGATTACCTGAGAGTTAACACGGATTAAGGATAGGTGTGAATTTAGATTGCAGGAAAAATCTAAAGGGCTTTCTTTCTGTGTATCTGATCTCTTTTTGAATCTTGTTAGGTGAGCAGGTCTGCAGAGTGACCACCTTCTTACATTCATGTGTATCCTTAAGATCACCATTTTTCATGACCATTCACATGCTGTCCGCATCAGGTGACAGATGTCCTGTCCTTGTGAAAGGTGACAAAAGCTGCAGGACTGTCCAAAGGGCAGGAGGAGACGAGCAGCTCCCTCGGAGGTCCTGCTCACCTGCTGCTGGGCCGGACTGGGTCAGCCCTGAGAGCTCTTGCCAGCTGGTTTACTCTTGCCATCAGAGTTGGGACTACCTGGCACCCCTTGGCCTGCACAGGCATCATGCCGTCCCCTGACATGGACCTGGCCTAAGGGCTGTGACAACACTGAGCTCTGCTCTAGGCAGCTTGCCCTTGTTCCCAGCAGTACTGCAGATTTCCTCGAAAGAGCCTGTTTAAGCAAAAAACTTAATTCAGAAAAGGCAAAATGGGAATCAGTCTGCAGTCTCAAAGGTGTTGTCTTGGTCTTGCCTAGCCTCAGTCCGTGTGTTTTAACCTCCTTTGCTTTTATTGTTCTGAAAAGGAGAAACTGTATGCTGTGGTACACTGTGTGCAGTCACTTGGAAAGCAGAATAAATTGTATGCAGTGAGGTTTAGCTACTTGGTTGTTAAGGTAGGAGCTAGTGGGTTTTAGTTAATGTATTGTCACAGTAAAGGCATAATTGTTGGCTGTAAAATGCAGCAGCCACCCCTTGCATAAACTTCCCGTACAAGTCAGGTGGGGAGATGCAGAATTGCATTGTGTCCACCAGAACTTTGGCTGAAATTCCAGAAAGCATGAGGGGAGAGCTTTCCCTCCTCTCTTGTCACCTTTGGCATGCGTTGTGTCCACTGCAGAGCTCTGCTGCTGCTCCTCCTCCCGCTGTGGTCCCATTTCATCTGTGGCCCAGCCAGCACTGTTAGCCACATACAGTTCTTCAGGTGACACATATGGCATGGGTGCAAGGTACTAAATATGCATCCCTTTTTCTCTGCTGTGCAGGTAAGTGTGCTTACGGACCAGGTGGAAGCCCAAGGAGAAAAGATTCGGGATCTGGAGTTCTGTCTAGAGGAGCACAGGGAGAAGCTGAATGCCACGGAAGAGATGCTGCAGCAGGTATTTCACAGGCGTATGTCTGTCTTGCTGTCTGTCTTAACGAACTGCATTTTGCTTCGGTGAGAGCAGCACACTTCAAGGTGTTGCACCCCTTGATGTCTCTTAACTAAGTGATAATTTTCTACCATATTTGCTTTAAAGTCTTTGTACTTGGTGATGTCAGTGCTGCTTTACACTGTAGGAATCCAGTCTTGCTCTTCTTTGAGCCTTTCCCCACTGAACTTCAAAGAGACTTGGATTAAAGCCTCTGGCAGGGTGGGTGCTGGCAGGGTGAGGTTCCCCTCAAAGCTCCTTGCTGCCCAGAGGAACTGTGATGACAGACAAGCTTTTTTCTTGTCCTGGCAGCCAACCCATGATAGTTCCTCTGTGATCTCAGATGCATCCTAGGTGTCTGTAGTCTGTCAGATGGGTAATAGCCATGTCCCAGGGCTTCAGAGAGTGCAAGGAAGAGTGTGATGCTTTTCCCCATGAAAGAGGCCTTTAGCTGTAGAAATAAATTACTGATTTCTTCCCCTTGGATGAATAATTCTGTTCTCTTCCTCTTTATCTTGAATCAGGAGCTTTTAAGCAGAACATCCCTTGAAACTCAGAAGCTAGATCTTATGGCAGAAATTTCCACTCTGAAGTTGAAGCTTACATCTGTAGAGAAGGATAGATTGGACTATGAGGACAGATTCAGAGACACAGAGGTGAGTAAAACCCAACTGAATAAATTGTGAAAGCTGTGTGTGGCTTCACGTTACCTGAAAATTTCCTGGGAGGTTTTTTTTTTTTTTGCCAAACAAGAAGGGAATTCATCTTCAAGGTTAAAACATTTATCTCTTAAAATAAAAAGTGTCCTCTTTGGTAAACTCTGGTTTTACACAGAAAGAATTCCAAACCCAGTTTTTGATTCTTGCCGTCAGATCTAAGGAGGGATGGCATTTAGGATGGATTTAAATAAAATCATGAACATACTGCACTCTCCTGTCCCAACTTGAAACTGTCATTGTCTTAGTAAGGCATGTCTGAGGCAAACGCTTAAGCCCATTTCAAGTACAAAAAGCACGCATGTGCAGAGGCACAGCACACTAAAAGACATAACATTTGGTTTCAGTAACAGAGAGAATGAGGTGACTCAGTGTGAGGACACTTTGAAGCCTCACTTCAAACCCCAGCCCCACAGAAGCCCAGGACCGAGAGGCCAGCGGTTACTCATCTCAGCCTGGCTTCAGCCCAGCGGTGTACAGTGCCAGGCAGAGCTGCAGCCCAGAGCTGCCATCCCTGGCAGTGCTGTCCTGGGGTGTTTGCCCTCTGTGCGCCTCAGATCTGTGTAGCTGAACCTTGCTCTTGTTTGAAGCCAGAAAGCCTCAAAGCAGGTGGACAAACCCAGTTTTTCCAGGAAACTCCAAGAATTGGGCCAAGGTTAGCTGCCAGGGTGACATACCCCATATCAGAAATACCTTGGAGTCTGCCTAGGAAGCAGAACAAAATTTCCAATTCTGGGTTCATCAGTGAGCTGAAATGTCAGATGTTTGTATTGTGGACGTTCCAGTTGTCATTCATTTCTGGAAGGGAAGAAGCCATAATGGCATCACAGGAGACAAAATTTGCCCTTTCCACTTCAACCAGTGGTTTATCAACTCCCTTCCAGTTTCCTACATATTTTCCAGTGAAGTGTCGTTCCTCACTTGTATTGCAAGCGTAAGAGCAAAAGTTAGGCTTGCTTTTGAATTCCTTTCTTTGAGAGAAGTCCACACGTTGAAAACTAGTGACTCAAATCATGTTCAGCTTTGAAAGGTGGTGATCATTTACGTAGTGATGGCGGTGTACGTTCCTGCAGTGTAGCACATCTGGGTGCTGCTAAGCTGTGGATCGGATTCATGTTGCCTCCTGTTATCTTTTCCTCTAGTTTGATACCCGATGTTATTTGAAGGATCACAGCTTTGCCTTAAAAGCAGCTGACTTTGCAGTCCAGGCAAGTACTGTGCCTGGCAATGCTGGAGAAATTGGCAGGTGGTAAGGTGGAGGGAATCGCTGAAGGTCTTCTGCATCCATAGGAAGTGTGTTAAGAGCTGACTGCTTTCTCAGCTCCCATGAGGTCTCTCTGCCCACACAGTGGTTGGCTCTTTCATGAATTACAGCATACAACAGGTAACACTCTTCACCTGTATACTGACGCCTATCATAAGCAGCCCAAACAATAGATAAATGAGTTGACATCAGCAGTAAATGGCTTTGGGGAGGCAAGGTTTGGTCCAAAGGACTGCAGTGAGCGAGTGCTTTCAGAACTGGACTTAACTGCATCTCCATTTGTAAACACTCTGTGGTTTCTTGTGCTTTCCAAAACAGGTAACAGAAGTGATTGGTCTGGGCTTTGTGTGATTTGCTTCCTCTTTTTCTATTCTTATTTTTATTGAATATGATTCTTTGCTGAGCTTTCATGCACTCCTTCTTCTTTCATTTCCCTCCTGAACTGCAGTCTCTCCGTAACTTAATAGCACAATTCAGACAGCAGACTGAGAAGGTGAATGTGGAGCTACCTCTGTTCCCAGAAAAGTGGTTAGTGTGAGGACCATGACATGCACTGCAACTCTGTAGGCTCGGTGCAAGAGGCCTACCTGCATGGCAGCTATGAAGACCTTTCTCTTTGAAATACCTTGAAATACGCTTAATGTCTTTGATAAAAATAAGATAACCTAAATTATGTTTAAAAGGTAATTACTATAATTAGGAGCTATATGTATTTATTTCCTGGATATTTATACTAGAACTAATGAACTATTACTAAAATGTTCCTCCTTCCCTTTGAAAATCAGAATGATGTAGTTTAGTGTGATAGAAATTATTATGTTGTTTCTTCTTTGTTTCAACACTTTATAGTTGTAAAAAGGCTTAGGCTTAGACACTGAAAGGGATAATATGCCTTAATTTCCATTTTGTTCCGTAGAAAAATGAATGGCTAATTAGTTGTACGGGTCTCGGCCATGTGAAATCTCTGACAGGTATTTTGGAGGCAGGACTTATTCAGAAGTACACAATATTTTATTCAGTGTTGATCTAATTATATTCCCGTTTAAAGTAATAGATGATCAATTATTTCAGCAGAGCTGAGTATTTACATGAATATTTAAAATACTCTACCGTAAAACACATTATGGCATTTACATGCAGTGTTCAAAATGGAAAAAATTTCATACCCAAACTGGGAAAGAAAAACTGTGACTATTGCTTCTGTTTTTATTTAGTTAAAAAAAGTCAAAATAAAAAAAACATTGACATCTTAAAACAACTTTTGTGGAGCTACTGTCTCCTACAGAATTACCATTCAGATTAAATCCTTCCTATTATCCAGTTTTAACTTATGTCTGTCATTGCAACTTCCCATTCCAGCTTGGTAGCTTTCTCATATTCACCATTCTTTCTCTAAAGAGATACTTCACTAGATGTGTAAGCTTTTTTCCCTTTGTGCTCTAGGACTTTCCCATCTAGATGTTCACAAATACACAGCTTTTTCAAAGCTAATTGTATACTTAATAGAGATTTAGAATGGTTCTGTTCTTTAAATCGTTCCAGTCTTTCCACTTTCTCAGCAGACACCAGTATTATTTTCCTTAAGGAGCACGGGTGGTCTGAGTTGGGCTGAGTTTATGTAAGAAAATACCGTACAAGGGAGTTTATTTAGGGAGGAGTCCATAACCAGACATGGTCTTTGAAGCAGCAGCCAGAGGTTAAACTGGCTCACTCATGGGGAATTTCTTCATAATTTAAATGCCACCAGTCTCCTTTGTGCAGATGAATTTCGGAGCAGAGCAAAACTATAAATGTAGTTTGTGTTTCCAGTGCCAGTAAGGAAGTCTCTGACCTCTGAAGCTTAAAGTTATCATTGCTTTTTTGTGCCTCCCTGGCCCTGCCATGAAAAGCGCAAGTAACATGAGCAGGGAAGGAAAAGACTTTGGGAAATAGGAGTCTGTATGTCCCACCCTGTCAGCTCCATTCATGGATCCGTGCAAGGAACAGCTGTTGGGTGTTTGCATGGAGGGACCTGACGCTGGATTAGAAGAGGACCATTTAATGACTCTTTCCTGTTTTGCAGGTTTTTAAGACAGGAACATGCGTTATGTCCAGGGCAGGTATTTTAACCCATTTATGAGTGCCCGAAGAGGAGGTATTAAATGCAAGCAGAGCAGGTGCCGTACACTGGCCACCATGTGGGTAACTGTTTTACTGCTGGTTCATCCAAGTCAGGCAGGGAACTCAGTGGGTTTTTGGTCTGATCTCAGATCCTGATGAACCCGTAAACACCCTGAGTGCCATGGGGACATACACACCTCAAGCATCACACTGGTCCCAAAAGGTCTTCAGGTCATAAGCAGTTATAATGGTTGGCACCTTCAGGTTTCAAACAATGCTGTGATCTCCTTGCTGGGGCTGCTGCAGGAGGGGGCAAGGCACAGTCCTTGCTGTGAAAGGTTTGTAGTCAAAATCAGTTGAACAGAGAATAGTGGAAGAAAAGGGTAAATGTTTCAGGGCAGCAAGCAGGAAAGTGAATTACACTGGGAGGATTAGGACTTACTAGGGAACCTCAGTGCCTTTGACAATCTTTACCTCCAGTAGCTTGCCCAAAGTTAAGTAGTAATTCAGTAGCAGGGGAGACAGCCCGGTTTGGGGCTTTTTTCATAAAAGGAGCAGAGTTTTGGTTAGTTATTCCTTTTGCTCAGAGGGGCCTTTTGAATATGGATAACTGGTTTCCCTCTCCTCCTCCAGTATTTTAAAAGTCACATAGTTCAAGTGATAAATATGTAGGCAACAATCTCAGCAGTTATTGCTACTCAGCATATTTTGACATTGGATCGTGCCAAAGCAAAAATGATGGCTGCAGGAAAGAAAAGCCCCAAACAAATCAATTGTTGTAGTGTCAAAGCTGACCACCAGACCTGGGAACATAGATTTGTTAGAGATCTCGAACACTTGGTGTTGATAAGGAACAGCTCAATTAATGTAGTCATGCAGACTGACATCCATGTACATTTATGCTTAGAAGAGTGATGTGCTTTGTAAAGGTCACACATGGAAGAATCAGCGAGGAATTGCAGGTGTATCCAAATGAGAAAGTCATACATTAGCAGTAGTAATTACTACTAGCATCAAAATGTTCTGTGTTTTTATTTTCCTTGTAGTTCTGGTAATTGAGCTTGGATCTTGCTAAAGAAATACAGATGCTGCTCTGTTGCAATCAGATTCATTGAGCACAAAATAATAACCAGAGGCTTGTAAGCTCAGAAAATGTGGCGTGGGGCTGGAAGGCAGGTGTTACCAGGGACCCATGAATACCCTCTAAGTGTCAGCTGCTGGCTTGTTAACTTATAAATTATAAAACTCTACTAATTATACACTTAGCTCTGAAAAATTGTGCGTACAGTTGTTAGCTCGATGTACAGCGTTGCTTGACATGGATAGGATTTGCCTTACCATGTAGGAAGACAAGCCAACCTAAGTACCATACTATCTTCTTGGTACTTTAAAAGCCGTTATACTGCAGTTCAAGTTCACTTAACGTTTTCTAGGGTGCACAAAGAGCTTACCTCCTCTTCTGAAGAGTTTCCTGGTGATACAGCATTACAGTAGCTGCTGAGAAACTGCCTCTTTTTCTTTTTTCACACAAACATAACACTGATCTGGTGTCCATACATAAACTAAAGGTCAGCGAAATATACATGAGGCAGAAGCTTGCTGGACATCTTTGAGTTGTGCGAAAGCCACAGGTTTCTGGTAATGTGTTCCCCTGCTGAGCAAGAAGATCATTTTCCCAATAAGCTGTGGTTTGTTATTCCTTATGTGGAGGGACACTGTTCTGGCTGTCCCCCAGGCTTCCTGTAGGTCTGCAGCTGGCCACTTAAGATCCCATTTCCCCATCTAGAGGGTGGGGAGGTTGGAGAAAGAGTGCCTTGCACCTTGGTGGGGCAGTCAAACTCAGGGTTCATTTGACTACTGCAGGAGGGGAGCTGTAGAGCTGGTGGCACTCAGGGCTGATCTCCAAACCTAGTTGGTCTCTCCAGGAGGATGGCCAGGAGGTTGAGCTGTTCTTCTGAAGAGCTTAGATGTATGTTGGTCGTGGCTCCAAGTTTCTTCCAAACCAGGCTGAATTTGCAAAGCTCAGATGTAGTGGCGCCGTTGATGCTTAAACACATGTGCCTTTGTGCTTGTAGAAACCAGTGATGGCTCTTCTGTTCAGCCCTCAGTTAGAGGGGGTCATCTGAGTGGTGGAAACGTGGATTTACACTGTAATCACTTCATATTTTGAAAAGGCAGGTGACGGCTAGCGAGCCTGGGGTAGGAGGGACTGGGGAGGCGAGGATGTGGCTGCTGTGTATTGACTGGGGAGGGGAGGATGTGGCTGCTGTGTATTGAAGGACGGCTGCCGCGGTTTTCCATTACCCACTCGTAGTGGTGGATATCCAAGCAGTTGAGCAGCCAGAGGGGCAGGAGGCCTTTCTTGGCCCTCAGCACAGGGAACATAACTTCAATTTATGTCTCCCTTTGTCCTCTGCCCTCTTGCCTTCAGTGCAGTAATGCAGAAACTGAGAAATACAGTCCCTGGATATCTAGGAAGCTCTGAATTTGCTTGACTTAGCTATGAATTTGGGTGGTGTGGTTTTGTGTACGGAGTGCCTTTTATTGCTCCTGTGTTTTTATGGTCCTACCAATGGGTAGCTATTGTTCTATTTTGTTTACTGAATTTCGTTGTTGTTTCTGGTCTTGTTTTTCCCCTCACTCAGGATTTGATCCAGGAAATAAATGAATTGCGGTTGAGAGTGGGAGAAATGGACAATGAAAGACTCCAGTATGAGAAAAAACTGAAAACGACCAAAGTAAGTGAGGCTGAGGGGAAGAAGCAGAGATGGGTATAAGTCAGGCTTTAGAAGTTCTCTCTCTTTTCCCCAATCCTTGCCTGCACCCTGCAAAATCCTGAGCATGCAATCCGGCCCAGGCGTTTCATGGGACTCACTTAGCAATAGGGGTTATTTCCAAATTTCATGCTATGGTTTTCAGATCTGGGCATTGTTTTTTTATGAAGGATAACTTACCATGCAGCTGGCTGTTAACAGTAAATTTATTACCTGTTTAGACCCTTGTTTCACATATGTGTCAAGAAACACCAGTTGCAGTACATAAGGCGTATGCCATAGGTGAGGCCAAAGCCGAGCATTTATTTTCTCCTAAATGTGCTAAAAATCAGCCACTTCTGAAGAGAAAGCATTCACCTAAGTAACACTAGCAGCCTGTTTCTGTAAGTGTCTAACTTCTCTTTGCCATTTAGCCTTGTCTCTTTTCTATCTTTAGTTTTCTCTCACTCCTCTGTCTCTGTTACCAGTCTTTAATGGCCAAACTTTCTAGTATGAAAATCAAAGTGGGTCAGATGCAGTATGAAAAGCAGCGGATGGAGCAAAAAAGCCAGATGCTAAAGGTGTAGTAGTTTCTGGGTAACATTGGGCCTGTTTTGAATCCTTCATGTCCCACCGTTTTATGATCTGTCTTGCATCGTGCTGTCACGCTCTGTTCTTCATTAATTGCTGTGTGTTGATATGCAGTGCACCCTTTCCCGTTAGATGTGGAAAGCTCTTTATGTAGATACTCCTTGTAAACAGCTTTTATATTGGATGGGAGAGGATTTTAGTGTTGTGAACTTTGCACAGGTTACGCATAGTGGAATTAGACTTGGGTTAAAATCATTCCACTTCCAAGGGAAGATTGCCTCTTCTGTAGCTCCCGTCCATTTTTCAAACGGAACTTTTTCTCACCTTTTTAGAGAAAATTTATTCATGAAAACTGGCTAGAAAATAGTGATTCTGTCCCCTCTCCCACGTGTAAATTTACATATTGTGTTTCTAATTCAGGGGAAGAAATACACAACAACCACATGCAGCTCTAGTTGCCCATGGGTATAACAGCAGCTTCTCAAGTGACCAAGAGATGGTCTTGTTTTGGAGAAGCATGGGTCCTCCACTGGCAGAAATCCCATCAAAATCAGTACCGAGTTGGAGCACTGGAGGATTGTATTGCCCAACCACTGTTCCGGAAGAAGCTTTGAATTCTTGACAATTTTAAGATTGATCTATTTTTTAATGATGCTTTAGAGCAAACAGGAACCAATTTCAGGAAATTCTGTAGTCTGGGCCATAGTTTGGGTCACAGACATCACTATATATTTGCAACAGATCTTTTGAGGGAAGCTCAGGAATATACCTAAGCCACAGTATTCTAGTCTAGTTTATTCCTTTAAGGATTTAAAAGTTCAGTTAGAAGCTGTAAATGCCAAAATTATGAATCTTGCCTTGTTTTGTTTTGTTTACAAACTGAACAAATTAAATTTTCAGTGTTGGGTACATTTGCACTGAGGGTCCTGTCTTGATGATGCTGTTGCACAAGATATCCTCGGACATCAAAGAAACATGTTACTAAACTGGGTAGGATTTGACTCAAATTTTAAAAAGTTAAATGCATGGATCCGTGCCAGTCACTTGTTAGTGCAGATGGTTAGATCTAAGTTAAAATTTGACAGCATTTATCTAATACACCCCAACTCCCCCAAACACCATCTGTCTTATTCCCATGAATCTCAACTCCAAGCTTCCTTTCCTAATGCTTGATCAGCAAACCCAAACTGTGGCCGAGGTACCACACTTTCGTCTGAACTGCTTTCCAGTATGTGTTTATGTGCTTGATGGTGTCGTGATTGATTTTTCTTTCATAGAAGCAGTGGTTATTTCTGAAACTGTCCTCAGCCTGGTGTAAGCACAGTTCCATAATTGTCCAGCTTTGAACTTGCAAAATGCCTTATAAATACCAAAATTCATAAATACCAAAGTTTGTAAATTTTAGCATTCTGCCTCATCACCTGCACCTTTTCTGTCTCTGTAAGGTTAAATAAATAAGAAAACTGCTTTTTTTACTTTACTCTTTCTTTTTTAAATTTAGATGTAAAATCTCTTTTCAATTATACGGGACGGACACTTTCGGACCAGAGGCCCCCTGGTTTTGCCCCCTTATGGACTCAGCGGTCTGTTGTGATGTTCAGAGTCAGTTTGGCGGGTCTACCCTCAGCCAGTGTAAACGTCAGGGGGCCCGCGGTCATTTCTACCGGCTGAGGACCTGTCCACTGTGCTTCATAGGAGGGAGTTTTGGAAACGTCTCAGATGTGTGTGGAAGCTGTCACTGAGTGATTCTGTGTCTGTTACAGGATGAGCTAGCAGCTTTGAAAGACAAGCTAGAACAGAAGGAAGGCGAGGTAAAAAGATTGCAAGAAAAATTGGTTTGCAAGCTGAAAGGAGAAGGAATTGAAATACTGGACAGAGGTAAGAAGAAGGAAGGTACTCTTACCATGTCCTCCTCAGTCACCTGATCTGAGGTCATCTTTCTGTGAGTGGTTGTGCAGGAAATAACAGATAAAAGCCTCAATTCTCATATACTTTCTGTCTTCGTGTTTACTTCTTTTAATATATTTAGTGGGTGTTCACGAT